TAACAATTATTTAATATATAAATGTTTATTTTATTGTGTATAAACTATAAACTATAAGTATAATAATATATAAATAATTACAAATATTAAAATATGTATTATCTGTTATAAATACACGTGTGGACATCATATAGGTCCTTGACTCCCGAATAATGTGCGCAGAACTGTTCACCAAACATACTTCAATTCTATACTACAGGTGATGTGATACACCAAGTATATGGCTACCCCCGATTTATCTTTTACTAATTAATTAATTTAAATATACTAGGTATTATAAAAACTATATTTTCAAATTTGAAATTATTGATATTTTTTATGGGTAGGTAGTAGGTACTATAGGTATAATCGGTATCCATACTAATCGAGTGTTCCGCAGTTATACAAACTTCTGTTTATAAAATGACAACCCCCAACCTTTTATTAAAATGTTTATACTCTAAAGTATAAGACGATAGTAGTCCTAAAAATTGTTTTAGAAAAATATGAAATATATCTCATATTGAATCTAGTATTTATTATACTTGGACCATTTTTACAAATTATTAATGTTGATAGATTAATATTAATTACCAACATTTTTAAATCAACATAGTCCACATATCTGCAAACAGTAGAGTAATCAGGGGGGAGGTTAGTGGTTTCCGACCTACAGAAAACAACTTCTTAGTTATTACAGCTGTTTTAGAGTCATTACTTTTTATGAGTTATTAACTTTATTCGTTGTGTAAAAAAAATTGAAAATGAAATACAAGGCTCCTAATATATTATTACAATGCCATTTGAAAAATATTAAAAATCTATAGTCAACATTTTTTTTATAAGCATTTAAAGTTTAAATCTTGCCAAAATACTTAAAAATCACGAACATTTTCAAATTATTTCGAGTTAGAAATTCATAAAAATGTTCTGTTTAAATCTAAGATTTTAAAATGTAATACCAAATTACTCATAAGTTTGTCTACTTTTATAGAAAAAAAATGTCTACCGGAGAGTCAAATAAAATTCTTATGAACGTTTGAAGTTCATATTTTCAAAACATTGGATATTTAGGTAGGAACTTGATTTCTCATGTAGCGGATTTTCTTATTTTGTTGTAAACAAAAACAAAAAACTGTAAATACATTAAAATTTCACTGAATGTTTAAATTTTCATTTTCTATACACCATACAGTTTTGAAAATAGTTTGACTCGTTTTGGGCTGTTTACAAACATTTTCAATTTACAATTTTTTTAGTTTTTTTTTCTAGAAATGTCAATAAAATTGTATTTTTTATTAATATAAACAGTATTCACAATAGTCAATAATATTATCAATTAATATATACTTAGTACTTATTAGTTAGTAATGGTAGGCGGAAAAAAAGCCCACGGAAAAAAAGCCCAAGGAAAAAAAGCCCAGAAAAAAAGCCCACGGAAAAAAAGCCCAAAAATATAAATATAAATGTGAACAAAATATAATAATATATTAATAATACATTACTATACTATAACAAATAATAATCATAAATAATTGTATAAGAGGCATATATAGGTAATTTTATAAAAGAAAATATTAAAATTTCAAATATGACTTATACATAATATATAACTATTGAAAATTTTTAATGTATTTTAATTTAAGAAATATTATTAAGGTATATTATTATATAGAGGGTTTGATACTGCCATGAACTGATGAACCACCTGTCAATAAATTGCATTTTTATTACCCAACTATTGATAAGCACTTTTACATTTAATTTAATTTATATTGTTCGGTACTTACCAATATAATTTATATATATAACCAGTCAAAATGTTAAAATTTATCAATAACTGGGTAATATTGACACTCCATATAGTACTCCATTACTTGGTTATTGAGATACTATCTACACGTCCTACTAGTACAGTTTTATCCAGTTATACATTTGTTATATATTTTATACTTTTGTTTTACCAATTTTTGTGAATATGGAGATTATCAAATCAAATAAAGGTGGTAACAAAGGTTTTTACAAAGGTTATGTATATGTTGTAAAGTATATTGGCGTATCAAAAATAACCTGGAGGTGTTCTCAGAGGTGTTCAATGAAATGTACTGGAGAATTATACACCGATCTCAAAATTTACAGTATCACACTATACCCAACAAAATATTTATATTATTATTGTATTATTACAGTTGAAAATTGACTGACCTGCTGTGACTATTACTATTATAATTAACAATTAATTATTATTTTCATTATAATATATAATAATATAATAATATATTATTATATTTTGTTCACATTTATATTTGTATTTCTGGGCTTTTTTTCCGTGGGCTTTTTTTTCTGGGCTTTTTTTCCTTGGGCTTTTTTTCCGTGGGCTTTTTTTCCGCGATTCGTTAGTAATATCATAGGCTGAGTGCTGGCTGTCTTTGCTCAAAATCGTTTTTCTTGTTTAATGATATACTTATATAATTTATTTCAAACTTAACACAATCAATTACATTAACTCAATTGCAGTAGTGTTGTAACCTACTGTACAAACAGAGCGACACCCACTTGCCCACCTCTGCCATAATATTGTATATTATGTTATATTATTTGTATTATTTTTTGTGTATTGTCATATACATTTATCATATTACTGATATACAACAATAGTCAATAGGGGAATGGGAATCAACTAATACATAAAGTAAGTCTCGGAAATCAACTCAACAACATCGAATTACATAAAGTTAAGTAACTCAAACATAACACGTTTCCGGTAAATAATTTACAGTCGAAAAAGGACGGTTCTGATATACAGAAGTTTGTGGCGACACAAAATAAATGAAGAATTTAAAAATATGGTATTTTAGTCGGTAGGTACCTATATTTGTGAATTCCAAAACTCAGATTTTGAATTACTGCATTATTGATGAAAAAGGCATATCACACATCTTGGTGAATCACTGTGTACCCCTAGGTATGTATACATGTTTATGGCATCTATGTCTAATATTTTGTTTTTGGGATTTTTAAGTCCCTGCTTTATGTTGCGTCTGCAGCCATCGCCCATGTGTAATATATAACGACGGTTATTATTCGATGATTTTTTGGGGGATTCATGGGGTACCTATACCGTATACGGAATAAAATAATAATACTCACCCCTGTACATTATTACGTAAACGTGCAGCTCCCAGCTCAAACACCTGGTCACCATCACCGGCTGATCACCCCACCGCACGTTAAGGGCAAGAAATTTAAATAAAGAAAGGAACGATTGTCGGTTCCGTTTCATTTTCATACTATATACCAGTGGTTTTCAAACTTTTATTAAACACCAAACACCATGCTCTTCGAAAAATTGTCACGGCACACTGACCTCTTTTTTTTTTTTGCACTAAATAATAAGATGAACAAAATTTTTTATAATTATTTATACATTTCATATTTTCATTAGAGATGTGTGCTTGAAGGGCCAACACATTTTTATCAATTATACCTATATTTATAATTTTATTCTTTGACGAATAGTTAACATTTTTCAGAAGGCCCCGGCACCCAGTTAAAAACCACTTCAAATCACATACGGTCCTTTCTATACTCAGGAAACCGTTTTCGGTTTTTATTGTTTTTTTCCGGGCTCGATTTCCCAGTCATGTTTTGACGAGTTTTTTTTTTTTTATTGAACAAAATATTATTTACAATCTGTAATTACAATATTTGACGAGTTGAATCCTAAAGGCCGCTCTTAAACTGCAACACGACCTGCAATCTAGGCGCATACCGATTTTTATTGCACGTGTGTCGCATGAGTAGTATCACAGAACAAGTTTATCCGGGCCTATTGCTCCAACAGGAATTAGGAAATGGATAGTTGTAACTTGAACTTTGAAACCAAATCGAGCAGCAGCACATTTACCATTTGTGCTGTTGACTCAACGATGCATATTGCATTTATGGTGTAGTATACTGTATATTCAATATTGTGTGCTATGGTCTATTATAAAGAAAGAAAGAATTCTATTATCGTTTCGATTTATACAGGACCACTATAATACTTCTAAATAAATAAAAAAGAATGTGACGAGTAGGTACCTCCTACTTATATTCAGGATTTTTGTGATCGAGGGTTAAATGTTTTTGATTTGCAATTTGCATAATCCCAACCTGCAGCCATAAAATCGTAATATATCAAAATAATAATAAGTTTTAATTTTAACTTGTTGATATCAAATCGACATCGAGTATAAAAACAGACGCCTCTCGCCAACATTTCCTGCTTTGGGAAACAGGGAAAACCCTGTGTACTGCAGAATAATAATGATATTATAAAATATTATAATCCATATTTGCAAACGAAAGACAGGACGTTGGCGGTTGGCGGTCTTCGACGTATTAGTGATACATATTTATATTTAGTACTTTAGTACTAGCAGTACTATAGTAGTAATAAGTGGTAGTGGAACTGTGGTAGTAATCGACGGTAGGACCAGTGACAGCGGCAGCGGAAGGTAATCACAAAAAACGGTGTTGCGCCAATTGCAAGCAGCTGCTTGGCACTGTTCTATGTTGCGCGACTTCGTCTATGGAGCAATCGGCGGCCGTCGCACAGTCATAGACATCGTATGTCCGTGACGTCACTACTACTGCGGGAGGCCCAGGTGTGTGTGCGTATCAGCAAGGCGGTCTCGTGTGCACCTGGTATCTCGCACCATTACCACCAGCAGCTATCGAAGTAGTGTAATACAACTCGTATTAATATAATAGTAGTCTACTACTTACTAGTCTCGTAATCTTTTCCCTATGCGTACATGTCCGCGACCGTCGCTGGTGCGATTATGATTCGTTTGTAGATGTAATAATAATAATAATCATAGTAATAGTAATAATAATAATAATAATAATAATAAAAAAATTTTTTTTCCGAAAAGAAATCATTTTCCTCTCTCTATCGACGACGACGTGACGACGCCGACCGCGTACCGTGAACGCGCCCGCAAACAGTCGCCAGTCGCCACGACAGATCGGCCGCGATGTCCGCTTTGACCGCCGGGGTGCAATACAGTCTGTCGTCGAACCAGAACAATGGCCTCATGCCCAAGCAGAGGACGGGCAAGAACAAAACGCTGTTCTTCGTCAAGCTGACCGATTCCTGTCTGAAGGCCGTCGAGGATTACCTGCGGTGCTGTCAACAGGTAAGAACAAGACCTAAGTACCTACCGATCTTTTCGCGAGCTCCCCGAAAATCTTCTCACTTGGCGATCGTTTGTTCTCGCCGCTTGTGGGGCCCCTACGTCCTCTCGGTCGTCGCCTACGCGATTTCTCTTGCGCTCTTTCCGCGCGACTCGTTTCCCTCCGGCCACGTCCGCACATCCACTCGACGTCGGTTCTCCGATTTTTTGGACCAGCCGCCCAGAATACTAACTCGCACCACTTGCTCCGAGTAGCTACCTTCCTCCTAGGTCCCGATTTTTCGACATCCATTACTAGGTCTTCAATTTTAATCGACTTCCGTCTGCTCGACTTTTAGATCGATTTCAGACACCAGCACACACCTTGAACTTTTTTCTTCATTATTCACTGCCTAAGTTCATTTTTACAATCTTCAGAGTTTGGCTAGATAAGGTGTCCAACAATCTATTAATTAAAGCATTGGGCCAATGTCTGTCCATTATTTTTGAGCTTAGATGTATCTCATTGTTTCAAACAGCTGGTTTTCAATAATGTCCACATATTGATGTTGTAAACTCATATCACTTAAATCTGCTGTCCGCTGTTGTAGCATCCTTACTAAAATAAAATTCATACATACCTACCAATTTTTGTGGCATAATGTAGGTACCTACAAATTGTCACAATTTTCAATTTTTTATCTATTGGTATTGAAGTTCTAGAAATAAATTTGGATTAGGTTTTTTTTATTTAATCTTGTTGATGCAACACATTTAATTAGGTCTGTATTTTTGTTAGAATTGATGCTTGTTCTTACATAACTTTAATTAAAATAAAATTAATTATTGTAGTTAATTATTAACGTACCTACCAAATTGCATAGCATAGGTACTAACATATTTTTAAAATCAGTACAGTTTTACTAGTTCATCAAACTAAAGTAGATACTATAGTACATTTTTAAACCTATACCGTTTCTAGTGTTAATAATATTGGGTACCTAACTAAAAATAAGTCACATATAATTAGGTGCATTTCCTGAATATTTGTGTACAATATTGTAACACAGTACCTCTTAAATCATTTTACGGCCTCAAGTTCTTCCGGTTTATAATTTTAAGGGAATCTTAATTTGTATTATATTAATGTTAGTACCCAATTGGGTAGTTCAATACCTAGAGAGAAGCACTGAGAAAACCAGAGTGAAAACGGTTAGTTCTTAACAGAAAAAAAATTTAGGCAGTTCAATACATTTATACTTTTATACCTAAAAAAATGTTGTTGATTGAGTTTGCAAAATGTTTGCTAATAGAAAGATTTAAAACATAATTTATCTAAGAATATAATTGTTGCTTTTTTGGTCTAAATAAGATTCTTTGTGCTACCTTCTGACCTTCTCAAATGATTATGTAACAAACATTTTACAATCATCACTAGGTGTATGAATTATTTTTAATGTTAGAATTAAAGTACTTGGTTTTAATTATAGCAATAAATTGTTTCAATAGTCTAGTAGGTAGGTTATTTTTAATAATATTACCTATTTTTATGAAATTTAATTTATATGGTACATAATAAAAGGTAATTAACGTCAGTAATAACACCCCCCTTAATCAAATGTTGCAAATTCTCGAAAAAAGATATCCCTTGAGATATCTTTATGCACAAATGCTCAAATATATATACTCTTGGATTGTACCTAGATAAAACTAGATTTCCTTTAGAAGAGTGTACTAAATCTTTCATAAATTATTATTTATTATAGGTACCTAGAGGTAATTACAATAACTATTTAGTAGTGTAGCCAAATAAAAATACACATAACGTAATCATTACCTAGGTACCAATTTACTAATAGTTGCTGAAAAAGTAGTTACATTTATCTATCTCAGTAGTATAATATTATTTTCATGAACTTTTTTTTTATATTAGGTACACAAAATATTTTGAAATATAGGTACCGTAAACGTAAACTTAAAAAGTTAAGAAATTTTTTATTTGTGAAAATTCAATCAAAACCACTTCAAAATATTAAAATTATCTATTAGTATGAAAACTAGGTATGTATTTGTTTTCCATCTGATATCTCATTCACAAAAAAATCAAACTAAAACGGTAAGATGACTAATTGATTTTATCAATTCTAATGATTGATAACTCTCAAAAAAACAGTAATATATTATCATCTCATATAATGTGTATCAATTACACAAACAGTAAAACAATCAAATTTGTATGAATTGCTTATGGTTGGTAAAAATTATTTTAAAATCAAATGATGTTATTATTCTCTCATTGTATAAATTGTGTAAATAAAAAATATATTTGTTTCTATGTGTAATATAAAATAAAGGAAATTATAGTTTTAGGGTGAAAGGGTGAGGACGTGTGGGTACTTGATATATTTTTTTAAAATTGAGATATTATATAACAATCAATATTTGCAAACTGTGGTTTGGTTAAGGGTTTAGTTAATCTTGAACCCCTCTGCTTACGCAACTGATCTTATGTAGGTATAAGCTATTGTATTTTAACTATTTTTTAAATAAATTGTTTAGTAGGTAATATACCAGTGAGTAGTACCACTTAAAGTAATCATATGTTGGTACAAAGTGTTTTAATTCTATTGATAGATGTACACTGAATATATTAAGTATTTATAATTTAGTTTTATGACAATTTGTTAATAATATTTTAATAGCTATAGACTCAGGTTATTAGGTATTTTTGTAACTAAATTATTTACTTAATTAGGTAACTATTGTTATAACATCATAGTAGAATTCTGATTACTGGCTCTCTTACAATATGTTTCCCTGTGTGTCTCCTGTACTTGCCTACCTATAATATTATATACATTTATAAAATATAATTTTTCTTTCTTATTAAATTGATTAATGATTTTACAGATTAAAATGTATCAGCTTATCTAAAATGTATATATAATAGTACCTAGGTTTAAATAAATTAGAAACCATCTTTTTTTTACTATATCAAATTTCTTATATTGATCATCTGTTACATAAATTAACAATAAGCTAATTAGATGGTAGTACCTAATAAAAAATAAAATTACACAAACTAACTGAGTGAAGGGGTCTCCCAGTCCCCCACTGGGACTTCATATCAAAGAAACTATCTTTTAAAAGTCTTTTAGTGCCACCCAAAATAATGTGAACGTTTCAAATATTCAGTTGAATTATTTAACTTTTATTTTCAAATTATTTTTGTGGTATTATTAAATGATGACAAATAGTGTTGTTTTCTATAAATGTATTTTTGTTATATAAAACTTAAAATTATTTTATTTTTAATCATATTTTCCATAGTTCTCATGAAGTCCCAATATAAACCCAGAATAATATTGTTTCATGTTAATTTTGAAGAACAATATTAATTTGGGGGGTGGTTAATTTTTTCATTAATATTTTCAATTTAGCCTTCAGGTTCTACATCATTAACTATTGAGACTTTTTGGGATTAGTAATAGATTTATAATGGTTTTTTTATGGGTATTATGGATTCAGGTGTGGGTTCAGAGGCTTCGTAAATACCAGTGTGGTAGTAGCACAATTAAAAGTGGTGATATAACTTTACAGAAACCTCCTGAAACACTTAGGTACTTATATTCTTGGCCTATCCTATTTAGGTAATTCTATATTTATTTTCATTAAAAATATAATAGGAGGTATTTTAAATTATCCTATAAGGGTTAATTTTAAACAGCAACAGACAACCTACTCTGAGAAGTATACTTTTCAATTAATTATTGCATATTATTATTTAACAGAATACATATTTTATATTTTTAATAACTATTAAAACAGAAGATTATTATTTATTAGCATTTCAATTTTAAACAAGATGATTGAGGTGTATCAGCTTCTCATGTTCTTGCTTTACCTAAGTCTACTCTACTAAAACCTAAAATCCCGGTAATAAGGTGATTGTTTAATGTTCAGATATTAATATTTTCCAAAAATTAATTAGGTATTATGTTTTTCATGAATTATATTAAAATTAAAACAAATCTTTACTAAAAATATTTTTAAAAAATGTTGGACAGGCTACTTCCACTTAGATAGAAGTCATTAAATTTTCATCTAAAATGCATCTTCATTTTACAAAACAACTACACCTTTATAATAAGTACAACCAAATAATATATTAGTTTCTGAGAAAAGGTACCCTAAGAGATAAGAACTATTTTTTTCTTTTTCTTGTAACATTTTCAGGATACTTATTTGGAAAAGAAACAACTTGTTTTTGATTGTTCTTATTAAGAACTTCTTAATAAATGTATTATTATAAATATTAAAATTGGATAAAATAATTTAAAAACACCACAAAAACTATTAATAGAAATGCTTGATTTTAAATTGTTATCATAATATATTATTTTATAATAATATTGAAATTAACTACGTTTTCTAAGTAAGATAGAGTTTATAGGCATTATACATTAGGTACCCATTATAGACTATAGTCATATTATATTAATCATTATTTATTATATTCTACTCATATTGGATCGAGTTATGATATTTATTCATAAAATATATTTGACTTTTTGCAGAAAGATTGGTACGTAATTTAAACACACACATATACTTCATTGTCCTTGAATATTATTTATAAATGAACAATTCCGTTATAAAAATTAATTTTTTTTCGTCTATTAAATTAACCTAACCATTTTCATTCTGTTTCCTAAACTCGTTTTTATCTCTTCAATTACGATTTGGCAACAATGTTTAAAATATATCAATTTAAAGCAGCGGGGAATGGCTGGTTAAAAGCTTTTATATTTTTCGCACAAAATTGTTTTTGTAAAATACAATATTTTTTTTAGGTTTAATAAATTTATAATATATATATGGGTACCATTTGCATCACTTACGATACATTTACGATACTATTTATTAATATTATTGATATCTGTTTTCAAACTTCCAACCTTTACTTATGAGTAAATTAGGCGTGTATAATATGTATTATATTATTCTATTTATATGCAAAATGAAAACATTGAATACCACTGAATCCGTCGAAAATAGCAAAACAGTAGTTTATTATTCTATGATTATTATGTGTAATATAGATTAGCTGCATATTACCTCCATCAGATGTGTCATAACTCATAAAACATATTAATTATATCATTGTTATTGTTTAATAATTTATTATTGTTGACGTAAATAGTAGTTAACTATTCAAATAAAAGGGAACCGAATCATTTTAGATTATTTGTTATTTTTCTTAATAATTGAATTATTAGTGTTTTACATAGTTGATATTTATTATTATGAAATATCTACTTATCTGAATAGATTGCTTTTTGAAAACCGAAAAATAATCGTTAAGTGCATAGAACTCAGTGGCATTGGTGAATTACGTTTGTACTTATTTTTTCCCGTACAATGTCAGCTGGCTTATCGACAATGTTGACGAAATAAAATGAAGGTCAAAGTATAAACAACTAATTAATTTGGTTTTTGTAAACGTATGGAATCTACGAAATTAAGATCGAGTGAAAATATCATTGAAGCCCATTGAAAACTATTTTTTGTTTCTCTGGATCCTTGATGTAATTTAATTAATAGTTTAATTTACAAGTACTGTTTAAAAATTCGTCACTTCAGATTCCATAGAACTTAAAATAAACGAATTACTTATAATTTTTTCCTGGTTTTGGTTTCTTATCATTGTGATAATACTGATACAACAGAATTTATAAAAAATTACACCCATGTTATATAATTAAGTATGCGTAATTTCCTTTTAACTATGGAATTTTTAGATAGGTACCTACTTGAGTAACCGAAAATCGTTTTATTTTGAATACAATTCATTATTATAGTTTGAAAGCATTTTCTATTTATTTTTCACCTGTCCAACTGCATATTTCAATAACGCCATTGTTGATCGGTAAATATCTATTTAATTTCAAGGTATCCGAATAAAAATAATAATATCTGGGCTAAAACTTTATGATAAGAACTTATTTTGTGTTCTTCGTACTGTATAATAATTGTTTAGCAAAAACTGGTTTTAACTGGCTGTAAAGCAGAATTATTGTATATGTATGTAACATAATTATCCTTTCGTCTTTAGCACTCGTACTTTCACCTGCTTTTTCACGTGAAACATTAGTAATACGCAACAAATAAAAATGTGTACGTACTCTAATAATAATAATAATACGCGTTCAAATATTATTTTCACGAATCTACGACGTGTCTAACCGTGTCGAGTTTTTCTAACAAAGTTTGACGAAGTGTATCGTTGATTTTTTTCCTAAAAGGCAACCTATAATTAATGTGACTTAAACATTATAATACCTTTTCAAGGTTTTTGACCGACGTTTGCTACTTTGCGAAGAAAAAAATAAATATATATATATATAAAATTACTGTTTTAATTTAATATTGAGTTGGGTTTCGTACATTTTATGTAATTAGATTATAGTAGGTAGGTATATATTTGTTCATTATTTTCGTTCTCAATTCTACGATCGCTTTTACGTAAATTTCCCAAAAATCTATCACTGCCTTCGCAATAGTCATTGATTATTAATTCTCTATTATTATTATTATTATTATTGGTTACTCTAAAATGGCATAACTCGAATAAATACAATTAATACACAAGGCAAGGCTTAAATATTTGTCTACGTTGAGGACAAGGTCAGGACCAATTGTATGACAAAAAGTGAAAGTTTCGCTACTACCTGCTGCCATACTATTTTTTATATATTTATGTATATATATATTATATACTATTGCTGCTGTTACAGACTAAGAGTTTGGTATTTGGGTCATACACGTCAATAGGCCAGCTCTCTCACAGAGGTACCTGTGTGAAGCCTGAGAATGACCTACCAATAACAATTTGACATCCATTATTATTATTATTAATACATTTATTAACATGTCAAACATTTAACAATATTTTATTCACAACAAATTACGTGTCCCCCTTGTCTAATGCAGAGATAATGTCATTTTAAAACACGATGAAAACGAACAGATACCATACGGTTGGACGTTTAACCCAAAAAATAAAAACTACTTTTAAAAAGTAATATAACATAATATTATTATGGATAGGTAAACGCAATGAATAAGTATTAAATATTTTTATATTTATATAGCTAAACTAAACATAATATATTATTATTAACTCCGGGCATCGAGAAAATAATACTAAAACATTCCTCGGTTTGTTATGTTATAAATAAACAAAAATATAATTATAGTTTCGCGCGTCATCTACACTATATATTAAATAAGGTAACATGTTCGAAATTCATGTTTAACACGAGATATTAAAGTTAAAGATACAAGTAAATAAGAACATAATACATTTTTACTGTATAAAGTAGTTTTAACTAGTGAGAATTTATTTATTAAAAAAGAAATTAATCATCGGCGATTTTAATATTTTTTTTAATCTTTCTAACAATTTACAATGCTTAAATGGTGTAATATGTGCATTGTACACATACCTGTATGCAAAGATTTATTTATTGTTATGATTTTAATTATCAATATAATTATAGTTATTAGGTTTATCATTCCCTAGTTGTTTACTATTGCTATAAACTTATAACAATAAACAAGATAAGATATAGAAGACAGAAGTCTACTAGTACTATCTACATTAAAACCATGCTGATTAATAAAATAATAATCAGTTATACTTGTTTGTATGTATAAAATTTAAGTATATCATTAAAAAGATCTTAAAATTGAAACAATCTCTAAAACAGCTAAAAATGACTATAAAAATGTCCACACCAAAACAGTTTGCCATGCATATCCATTGATTTCTAACTTAGCCAGTGAATTCATGCCAAATAACCCCCCACGTTGATTAAAAAGACACTGATGACTGGTGTCCTGAATCCCGACCTGCACTAATTAAAAAAAAAAAAAACTCCCTACCCCAAGTTAGAGGATATCCACACTAGTGGGACTCACTCCTCACACCATTCATGTTTTGTACCTTAAATTTTCTTTTTGCTATCAAATTTACTTATTGTTGTATATAAATATTACAGATTGTAAATACTCTATTTTTATCTAATAAAAAAAAAAAATAAAAATATGAACTCCTTTAAGTTTTTATTTCTTAGTTATTTTAATTTATTACCCAACTTAAACCCACTTTTGTGTCTAACAAGTATATAACAAATATAGAATTCCGATATGATAATTTAATTAAATATGTCTATAATTAAATCTAAAATGTAATTTATATTTATACATGCATATTTATTTTTTAGGGTAACTCAGAAAACCTTCCAAAACCTAGAATACAATTTAAAGGCAATGAAGGCGTAAGTATTAATTTTTGTACTAAGTAATTATTAAATTAATTTATATTTTATATAAATAATATAATTAATTTTATATTTATTATTTCAGCAATTATGCGTCCCGAGCATATCAAAAAATTATACATTTGACTTTAGTTTATCCAATACAACAGACGCTGCTGCACCTCGAAGTAGCTTTGAATGTATTCGTCAAAATACTTCTAGGTATTTTATAAAAATCAAATACATACCTATTATAATATTATGATAGTGACCAAAATATTGACTGTGTTATTCATTTTGTAGATCATTAGAATATGTTGGTACCTTGAATAGACATATACGAGTACTTGCGAATGATGATGTATATGAAGCTACTAGACATAGAATGGTTGCTGTCGAAGAATTACATAAAAAATCATGGTATAATTGCTATTAATTAAAAAATATATTCTTAACTTTTTCACTCTTAATTGTATATTAATGATTATTTTTTGGATGTGAAATATTTGTTTTAATAAGATAATAAATAAAATAACCAAAATGTAATACAAAAACATCAATTAAAAATTAGAATTTCAACATTAGTATTTACTATTTTTAGAAATAAAAATTTGATTTGGTTCTACCAACAATAATTAAAGACAAATAGACAATTAAAGATTTTTAAATTGCATGTTTCTTAAATTTAATTGAAAAGCAAAGTAGAAATTATTACTATAATTAGACTTTTGTTTCTTTGTTTACAGTACCCGGGAAATTGAACTCGACAGCAAATCAGCTCTTAGTCGCAAGATCCGTAAAAATCCTGCCCAAATAAGAGCTAGCCGTCATAATAATAATTCTTATAATAATGTTAATAATGTTAATAATGTTAATAATGTTAATAATGTTAATATTACAAATAACGTTCCAAAACCTATAATTTCCAAACCTATACCCCCACATATCCCTTTACCAACCAATCATGCATCAGATATTAGCAAAAAACCATTACGAGATAGAATTATTCATCTTTTAGCATTAAGGCCATACAAGAAACCAGAATTAATTAGTATATTAAATAGAGGTTTGTTTAAATTGTTAGTGTGTTTACTTGTTTGTTTAAATTACTAATTTTACATTTTTTTTAGATGGTTTGAAAGATAAAGATAGAACACAAATAATGTCAGTTCTTAGTCATGTAGCACAAGCAAAAGATAATGCATACTATCTATTAAGGCATATTTGGAATGAAGTTCAAGAAGACTGGCCATTTTATAGTAGTCAGGATCATATTGTATTAAAACGGTAAGAACCATTGTATATTATTGTAATCTTTTATTTCTGAATAATAATGCAAATAATTATTAATGTACAATAGTTTCACTATTATTATTAATTTAAAAAATACAAATATTTTAGTCTTTTTTATTTTAAAAATTTTACAAATAATAGCACTGATTCAAAGAAATCTAATTATGATTGAATAAAGTACAAAATGTACGTCTTAAATTTTGGCTAATAAATTGTACTAAACTCTAATTTTTACTTATTTAAAAGTATTACATTATAGTGTAATACTATTAATATTCAATATGAGCGAGGGAGCAATTTAAAAAAAATAAAAAGCAATGTTTAAAATATAATTCATAGCTGTATAAAAACCAGATTTATATGTAGTTACATAATATTATTGTTAATGTGTCTATGCAGTCTTATTAGAGTAAAAAATGTGGACGATTTGTTCAATTCTGAGTTTGTAGGAAAAAAATTTTTGCATATTTGAGAAAATTTAAAATTTATTGCATAATTTATTTATTATGTCATAATTATTTTTCTTCTCTAATTACAATAAAATCTCAATCCAATACTGAATATTATGTCATTTATTTTTGGCCCTTGAAACATTTTGTACTAAAAATTCAGAGCACAATCACATACTCAATAAACTTAAATATTATTTTTATTTTTAATAATTTAAAGTAGCTATTTATTGAAAATAAAATGAGAAATAATTATTTTCATTTAATCTCAATACTGTACAATTATCAATATTAATTCTTGTACCTACCTACATGGACTATATTTTTTGTTAAAAATTATTTTAATATTTAGACGAAAGCCTCAAAATTTAACACCTCCTGGATTAAGTGATACTGGAAGCTCTGGCAGCAGTGAACAATCCCCAAGTAGCACCGTTCCCAGCAGCCCCCCTAGTAATGTACATGGTAACAAAAGACCTGGATACTACAATAGTGCAGATGGTTTCCAGACTAAAAAATTGCGTGTTTCACACTTCAAACGACCGTCGCCCGAGAAAAAATTGTCATCAGATAGTCCTCCACCAATTGTATCTAGTACTCAGTCAACCATACGATCACCTACTCATGCACCCTCTCATACTAATCCAATACCAAAATATATTCAGTAAGTATATTATCAAAGTTCTTTAAAGATCACTAAAATATTATTTTGACTATAAAAACATATTAGACTTTCAAAATATTTATTTATTTTCAGAGATTTTGTGCGAATAACAAACAAGGAGCAAAAGAAACAATATAAATCTGAATTCATGAAATGTCATAAAGAATACAAACACCTGGCTGAAATAATGGATCCTGTTCGAAATAAATTTGCTAAGCTAAAAGATCGGATGTTGCTTTATCCTAAAGGCTCAAATGAATATAAGGTATAAATTATCTTTTTACTCTAAACTTTATTTGTTTAATAATATAAATATATTTTGTAGATTTTAGAAAACCAAATATTACAAGAATATAATGAAAGAAAACACGATGATAAATATCAAGCAGCTAAAACACGTTTTGACTACCTGCATAACAAATTATCCCACATCAAAGACTTAGTCCATTTGTATGACAAACAAAATCCCGTTTTAGTTAGGACTACTCCCGATTCTTCTTGCTGAAGTTATTTATAATATTATATTTTTTTTTCTATTTTAAATACAAGTTTAACATAACTAAATGACAATTTTTATAAAACCCAAAATTAGTTCCACAGACAAAAGAGATAGAAAAATCAGTGAATAATCACTTAATGGTTCGCTCAATGTTTAAAAGTGCATTTATAATTTTTTACTGTCTTAACATTAGTTACCGGCTCCATTATTTGATACGTTGATATGAGCCTAATGATATCTTTTAATGATTTTTTTTTGTGGGGAGGGGGGCTTGGTATTCAAATTTAAGATCTATTAAAATACCGTTAAAAAGATGATTGTGTTAAAACTTAGCCAGAAATATTTATTTTATTTTTATTTTTGTTTGTATTAAAGTTTAACACTAAAGATCAAAATTGTTTATCACACAAGTGCTTGTTTTCTTATTTTGGATGAGCTTGAAGTATGGCAGCTGTATACACGTGTAACTAATTGGTTTCCTATTGGCTGTTCGGAAACATTCATTATATTGTTAACTTAAATTTAGGCATATGTCTACATACAACATGTATCCATTTATATGCCATGCGATTGGTTTCAATTATGTTGGTGTATACATATTATGCAAATATTACCATTTTTTCAATTACATTTATTGTATAAATGTATGATGGTAATTATCAATTTGATATTGAAATGAATACGTATTACGTAGCAAGTTTAAATGTTTTTTTATTATTATAATTATTTTTATTATTGTGATTATTATGTTATAAATATTGTTTTTTTATTTTTATGATTAAAAACATAATCCAAGTCTCACAAACAGTGAGGACTTAGTATACATCTTAATGTTTTGAAACTATTAAATTTAGGTTTTACACATGGTATACAATTTTGAATTTGATTTAATTTTTGTTAGGATTTATAGTCATTAATATTTACTTATCAAACAAAAAAAACATTTATTAATTTATTTTATTATCAGCCCAAAACTTTAAATAAAAATAATATAGTTTATTTTTAATATTAACAAACACCAAAAAGCAATTTTAGAAACAAGTAAATATTTAGAGTAATATAATATATATATCTATAATATTTATAGGATAAAAAGCTAAAAAAAAAACTGATGTTATGAAAGCAAAACAAAATCATTTTAATTAATTATTGTTTTAGATTTTGAGTGCACAATGAACAATTACAGACAACAGTGATGTGTTTAAAAAAAGAAAAAAATTTATAATAATAATAAATTAGTAAATACATATAAGTATTTTAGTTTAGGGTTTTAGCTTAAAATTATTATTTTAAAGAAACATTAAACCAATTGTTTAATAATCATTCATTACAAGTATGAAGTATTGACATTTAAACTTGCTATGTCTAAAATGATAATTTATAGTACAATTTGGGAAGCTCATTCATCAAATTAAATGCACAATAATAAAATATCAACCAAGACTTGTATTTGTTAGGGTTTTACATTATTATTATTTTTTAACACTGTGATATCTAGAATGTTTTGCCCTAAATAAAAATTATTTAAAGACTGAAATTTGGACCATATAACCGTATATTTTTTTTATCATCAATAAACATTTATAAGTGGAAAAGAATACATTTCAACTTTTTTGCTCGGTAACAAAACAAATGTATATCATAATATGTGTGCTGTGTGGTGTACATGGGTAGGCATTCACATTAGATTAATTAATAATTATAAATTATTATTGTGATAAGGTTATATGTTACATTTAAAATATATTATTAATGTAAAATGTGTTGTAATGTACAAGGCCATTGGCATCTGCAATTAATGTACTCCGGGGCTTTAATAAATCTATTATTACGCTTTTGTATGACAAAAAAGAGTAGTAGATCCAATCCCTCAAACCCTCTTAATTGGTATTTTGATTTGAAATTTACATTGTACATTACTCATTAGTAATACTTTTTAATAGCTTTGTTATTGATCAATGAATTAAAGAAAATTGAACCTTTCTGATACATGAAACATAATTACAACTTTCACATTTTTTATCAGAACAGTGTAAGTTATACAATGTGTATTTCTTTTTGTCTTTCTCATAACTTACTTTGGATGTGAACTTCAAATTTGAGGGAGGTTTCTGGTAGCAAATTTGATCTAGTTGATTCTTAAAAAATAGAAATTTCCAGTTTTTAAATCTTTATAGAACAAAAAATGGGCATATTTAAACAACTCAATTTTTAACAAAATAGATATTAAAATGCAGAAAAATAACCATAGCTTGAATTATTTATGAAATATTTGTATTAGAATTTTCTAGACAAAATTTAATACTTGTCTAAATATATTTACTCTATTTAAACTAAAACATCTTATATGTTTTCATTTTTTACTTTGGTCTTTGTTGATGAATACTCTTGTTTTTCAGTCAACAAGTAAAATGCAATGCAAGGTTCCTCATTAGTGTTTGTTATAGCAGTTTAAAAATATGTAACTACATTTTTTTTTTATTATAAGAGAGTCTGAAGTTCAAATGTGGAAATAAATAAGATTTACTAATTATTCTGATTATTCTGTAGTAAAAATTCATATAATTTTCAATTTCTGTAACTTATGTCCATATGCATAGTCAATTTATGTGACACACAAATTAACTATGCAAACGGACATTAGACATTCAACTAAAATTGACAAAATCAAACCTATTAGAACTGGATTTAGGTGTTATATTAAAAACTAAGAAGTCTTCTATAATAGATCAAAAAAATCAGAGTATTCTTACAATGAAATGCTTAAGATTTTCTGAGATGTGTTTTTAGGACAATTAGTGGTACTAAACCCGCCATTTTTATGCAGGATAGTCCAAGCTGCAGTGTTCCCTTAACATTAAAAACACAATATGCATCAAAGTTTCACATTAATGATTCATTGTATAATATTGTGTAAAATTACACATGAATCAATATTATCACATTACATCAAAATAAGAAATTTATAATTAACAAAGTTATAAACTAATTAGAAAACATAAAATTACTATACTATTGACTACATACAATTTTAAAATTAAACAAAATAAATAATTTAATTTGAAAAAAAAAACATACTAATTTTGTACAAATTTTGATTAATCAAAAAGCGTAAAATAAATAATAATAGACAGCAGTTTAAAAACAAAGTTTACCTTAGATTTTTTTAAGTTTGCTTACATTATATTGTAATTACAGGTATATTGTACAGTTTATATTAAAATTAAAATAATTAAGTGCTAGAAGTTATTGATAATATCAATTATGTTATTCAACTTCAATTAAATAAAATAGATAGGTAAAAAAAAAATTTTAAAAAATAATACATTTGGTTGTTTTTATGGATTTGTACCCAACACATAAAAATAATCTTTATATTTTATATAAACTAAAACTATTAAAACGTTCTTATTAATTTGAATTACATTTTTTTGTATAATATTCTATGTTTCTAGTAGTTCTATACTTTAAACAAATATTCAAAGCAGCCCGTCCTACTTCAGTTTTATAGTCTGTAATATTGTCAGATACAAATAGCGTAATAATATTTGCCATAAGATTGATTTTTGAAATTTTCTTCATCAGTTTATTCTTTTTCCTATACATTTCAGAACACTTATTTTTAATACAATAATTTACTATATTTAATTCAACAAAAATATATGTTTAGCTCATGTAAAATCACAAAACATCTTTTAAATTATTGGGCTTGGAAATTAAAACTATAAGGATCATAGTAGATACATAATTTGGTTAAATTGTATGTACACTGACAAGTTCTAATACTATCAAGAAGTTTTTTCATAAAAAGTTAAAAATACCACAAAATATTTATAGTTTTGTAACAGCATGCATAATTAAAGAACTATATAAATTATGTAACTATGTATTATGTGGTTGCAATATATTCCCGATTGATATGAATGCATCAATTTACTACTCAGCGTGTATAAAAAAATAAATATTAATTACAAAAAATGAAAAAAACCATTCTGAACTACCGGTACTAATATTAATCTTAAACTTATCAAACTCACTTGTTGGTATCAGTTTCATTTAGTAGAGTGATGTTTGTCACATCAACACTATTCAAAACGTTTGCATATACCTTGAATGAATTTATATATGAAGTAAAGCTATCATAAGGATTAACAGAAAGATTTTTAATTTCTTTATTAGTTTCGATTAAAGTCCGTAAATGATCTTTAAGAAGTCTGAAAACAAATAATATATATTAATAATGATTCAAGTAATGAAATAATAAAATAATGAAATTAATAAGTATTACTTTAAAAAATAATGGTCCTTGTCATTGTAGTTTAAATTGGTTTTTAGACGAGTTGCATACATATTCATGGAATAAATACCATAAGTACATGCATATTCTAAAAGGTGAAGTTCCAGCATGATAAAAGATTGAAGATCATTAGATGCATACTGATATTCTGATTGAATATCTTTAGATGCATATGCTGTTTGAGAATTAATGTCTGAAAAACATAATTTACAGTATAATAAGTATTTTATATTAATATATAATTAAACATTACTCAATAACATAAACTGAAAAAATTCAGCTAAATATGTACCATTCCTGAACAAATGAACCACATTAATGGTGAATAAAAAATAGGGTACTTACCAATATCATATTTAGCACGCAAGAAAAAATATCTAGATTTCAGTAAATTAAGTAAATCAACTGCTATATCAATGTCTTCAGTTACTTTTTCCAGTTCGGAACTCATAATGCTTTTGTGAGGTTTTAAATAATATGCAAAACAAAATAATTTTCTAACAAAACTATCGCGGTCTTGGAAGATTAAAGTAAAAATATGAATAAATGTACAACAGATTAAGAAACACAGTATTCATCAACAATGATATGACACGATCACACAAGCTAATAATTGATCATACTTTATTGAAACTTCAAGCATTATTTGGAAGTTGCATAGTTGTTGACACTTTGACAGTTCACTGGGTTGTATTGTTCTGTGGTTGTATTGTCGGTTTTTTTCAAAGATAAAGTGTGTGATAAGAATTTTTGAATTTTGGCACGGTGTACCAACATATGAAATTAAAAAAAAATTTAAATTAAATAAATAAGTAAACAAAATTAGTACATTTTTTTTGTATAAAATATAATGCAATAGAACTTATTGTTATAAATTATATATTAATATTAAATATATTATATTATATAAAAATATAAAATAATGTGAATAGAATGAACAAGACCCCGGTCTAAAGCTAAACCATATAAATAAACATTATCAATATTTGTGATACTCTAAAAATTGCTCTTCAGTTATCACTTGTGTTTGTGGTGTTTGTGCCTTTGTGGTACTTGGTATTTTTGTAATAATTATTGTTCCATACGGTACCTATTGACTATATTTTATTAAACCTGCCCATGTAGACTATAGAATATATTTTATACGAGCCTAAAATATATCAATACACCAGTACCTATTCTATGGTACCTATTTACTAAATAGGTACCATTTATAGTTTTATACATTAGTGACAATGTGAAGTGTGATTTAGGCTGATAAGGACCTAGGACCTCCAGAGCACAACCTACGAGCCTATAAATATTACATTACTTCATACTTCACCAGACGGCAGACATTGTTATTTTCTACAACCGAGTTTCTAATTTCTATTCCGGCGACCGACTGCAGGTCGCAGGTGTAGCGGTGCTCCTCGGTGTGACCATACATTATTACTCTATGGTGTGACCACTGACTGTGTTCTTACAAGTTACAATCATTGAATAATCCTTCATTGGGCCGTTCAGCGTTGGCTGCTTAATATTTTTGATTGAATCTAAGATGAGCCGTGGAGGGAAATCGAAAAATGCATACCTGCCTGGAGATTTGGTGGCATTGGGATCAAAAACTAGTCGCGTTGAACCAAATCCACAAGAGAAACGTGGTAGTAATATTTTATTACATAGAAAGTTAATGGAATCAAATTTATCTGGTAAGTTTTTTTGATTGTCGGTGTTTGACGCTGATGATAATCAGTCACCAGACGAAACATGGTTATCGATATGAGTATTTGTTAAAATCAAAGTACCTCAATATTTTTGGTTTCTCTACTATGTGTAGAATACCCTAAGTGATAGTAACTATTATGTTTGTCTACAGAAAACAAAAATTATTTTGTTTAAGTATATTCATTTAGTTATATTACTGAAAAAATATATTATAATTATGCCTTAATTATTTAATATTAATATGTTTTCACTATTTTAAATTTAGATAGAAAACGAACTGGACCACCTATAGCTGCTATACCTAGTAAAAAGCCTAAACATGCAGGCTCTAGTCATAGTTCATTTGCTTGGGAACAGATGTGTATTGAAGTTGATTCCATTGACTTAATTGAGTCACTAAGTTATTCTATTCAAAATCAAGAGAATTTAAAAGCTGTAAGTATATAAATAAAATAACTTTTCTAACAATACATAACATGTGAAATGTTTGATTATTTTTATTGTTACCTAAAAATATGATTCATTAATTATTAATATATATTATATCTGATTTAATAGTTTGTTTGCTTACTGTCAAGATAGTATATAAATCTTAAGTATTTATCTTATATTTTCATTGTTACATGTGCAAGTAAAATGTACAATAAAAATTATAAACTCCCTTATTATGTTTTTGATAAATGATCATGGTTAACACCTTTTTAATGAAATAATTCATTAAATTACTATACTTAGGTACTTAATTATAAATAATTTCGTTTTAGGTCGGATTACTTTTTGGAGCTTTTAAAATCTTGCATACGCAGCGATTAAAACCAGATTTATTTTGGAGTTTATTAATTGCTGCTCGTCAATTTCCTACATTATTTCATAATGAAGAAATTATAAATGCTTTGTGCTCCATCCTCACATGTCATTCAGTTGCTTCAACTAAACAACGTCAATATAACATAGTAGCTGCAATTATTTCTGCTAATTTATTAGTAGTATCACACGATAAATTAGCTAATTGGCCAGAAGCATTTTTTAAGGTACTTACTTAAAATATAATTAAACCATTTTTGTAAATAATATCATTATTTATTTATTTTAAGGTTTTTGTAGAAGACTCAATGGGTGAACGTTTGTGGGTAGATAATGAAGAATGTCGATTTTTTGTTGAAAACATTAGAGTTAGTTTCAATACACGTCCTTCACCTTTTATTCCTTTGGATTTTTTGGATACAATGAGTACAACAGAAACAGCATTATTTACACCAGAAACTTATGAAGTTTCTGTTGTGCCAAGATATGGAGCTAATCAATCAGTAATTGAAAATATAATTTTAGACATTGCCAAAGAATATTTAATCAGAAGGCAATCAACTGAGGGAATATCCAGGAGCTTATTAAAATTATTATCTGTTGCTACTGGAATTTTGGAGGTAAGTTATTACAATTAATACAATTTTATGAAAATTTAAAATTTGAATTTTAGATTCGAGTTATGGTTGCTGGTAAATTGGAAGTTTGGTTACAAAATGCCAAACTTGTACGGCCAGCCCAAGAATTACTTTTAGCAGTTTGTGTTAATTGTACTTCACGCACTCAAAGAGACTTTGATGTTATTTCAACTATTGTCAAAATGAGATTAAAAACAAAAGCCATGGGTAACTTTTATGTATCATGTATCAAGTTAGTAAATCATTTTTTTTTATTTTTACTAAAATTTAAGTCAACAATTTTACAATAAACTCACTTAATATTAATTTTTTTAGAGAGTTGATTTCAGTAAATTCAAGTAATTTGCCAGTTATATTAAAAAATGTAGTTTATAATGAAATGTCTACCTCACGAAATACAAGTAATATGGCAATTTTTCAAGTTATTTTCAAAGCTGAACCAGATCAAAGTGCATTACTTTTAGCTGACATTTTTCAGGTTTGAATTTTTAAAGTACTTAAGAATTATTCTTATATAGTATATAATACTAATAATCTGAAATCATAATTAGGAATTATTGATATTACGAGATGATTATTTGAGACCATTACGTGGACTTCTAAGAGAAATATCACGCCAAGTTCGGTCTGATTTCAACTTTCTGACTTTTTGTCAAGGTCTTATAGGTGCCAAAGAGCCATTAAATCAAACACCTGAAGTTAAGGATAGAGTTTTTGCTGGAATTATAGATCTTTTAACATTGTGTATATTTCTAACTGTATACCCATACATGCGTTCAGAACGAAAAGACGTTGTACAGGTAAAAAAAAAAATATATAAAAAATATTTTTTAAAAGAAATAACTAATTGTTTTTTTAGTTCGAAAAAATGCAACAAGTTATATCCAAAATTCAAAAAGATGGAGTTGTGTGGCTCCAAGAAAGTGGTTTAAGAACTTATCGACCGTCTCCTACTGATTTTGTTCATGCGTTACACAAAGTATATATTTTATTTTTTATTTAATATTTATACAATTTTTTGTCTGCTATTTCATGTACATTGCATTGTTTTTGTTAAAAGAATAATGTTGTAAGTTGTATTTAATGATTTTAGATATTATTAATGGAGGCACCTGAACAATATTATAAACTAGAAAGTTGGCCTCCTGAGCAAGATAGAACAACAATATTTAGAATTGCTACTGAAGTACCATTGCTACAAGGTACAGTTATAACAATACTTATGATTGGATTGTCAAAAGAACACCCTTTGAATTCACCGGACGCCCTGGAGTTGGTAGATCAATTAGTAAAACGTGCTGCTTCGCTACAAGTGTATCAGAATTTTAATACCATTCGAGGTAAAAGTCTATAGAAATATGTTCTGAACATAATTTGATTATATTAACTAACCGTACTATTTTTAGCTGACAAATGTGAATTGTTTGAAATATTACTGGATTCATGTGCATATCATCATCCTGATAAAATTGAGTTACCATTAGGATATACACCTCCACAATTAGCCATATCAAATTTGTATTGGAAAACATGGTTAATAATGTTAATATATTGTGCTCACATACCATTAGTTTTTGGAACTCTAGCCTGCCGAAAATATCCAATGTTAAGGATATTTATTGAGATGTGTATTACAAATAATTTTTCTTTTCCCACATTCCTGGAAGATCTTCAGTTGCAATCAGTTGAAAAACAAAAAATACTTGAGTTTGAATCATATTTGGCTGCAGCTTCGACTAAAGTCACAATAACTGAACAGACGAGTTTGCTGTTAAGTCAACTTATGGGTATGGACCCTATTGGTCCACCTAGGCGTCCACCATCGTCTATATTAGAACAACTAAGAGTCATGAATACAAATTTACGTATTGGCCACTTGTTGTGCCGATCAAGAGACCCTGATTTTCTTTTGGACATCATTCAACGCCAAGGAACTTCACAGTCAATGCCTTGGCTGGCTGATTTAGTAAATTCATCTGAAGGATCATTGAAGTAAATATAATTTATGATTGCTAAGAATTTTAATTTTGTTATTAAAATGTTACTTTTTAGTCATTTACCTGTTCAGTGCTTATGTGAATTTTTATTGAGTCCAAGTTGTCGTCAACAAGGTAAATTTAATCAATTACTGAATCATTTGAGAAAGCTGTTAATGCATCCAGAAACTGATCCAATAATAAGTTGTGAAGTTTTGGAGTATTTTTTAAGACGCCTAAGTTCTCCAACTAGTAGGCAACACGCTATTTTAGTAAGTTAAAATACAGATTAAAAAGTAACATATTATACATGTTCTTATTTCTTC